ACCTGCTCAGGGACAAGAGGACGCACTGCTTCCCGGGCGCCGTCGTGGGGACGCGCTACCACGACTACCTCGCCGTCAACTCCACCAGGCTCCGGGACAACAGGACCATCGTCGACTTCCACGACTTCCTCGCCGGCGTGTACGACGACGACGACCTCAAACCCAAAGCTGACGACGGCGGCGGCAGCAGAAGCAGGACGGAGGAGACGCCGCCGCTGGAGCGGCGGCCACGGCTCGGGATCGTGTCGCGCAAGGGGAGGCGCGTGATCGAGAACCAGGCGGCCGTGGCGCGGCTGGCGGCGTCGGTCGGGTTCGACGTGGACGTCATGGAGACGGCCACCGGGGTGCCGCTCTCGGCGATGTACGCGTCGGTGAGCTCGTACGACGCGCTGGTGGGCGTGCACGGCGCCGACCTGACCACGTTCCTGTTCCTGCGGCCCGGCCGCGCGGCGCTGGCGCAGATCGCGCCGCTGGGGATCACCATGCTCTCGCGCAACCTCTTCGGCGTGCCGGCGGGGAGGATGGGGCTGCACTACGAGCAGTACGACGTGAGCGCGCGCGAGAGCTCGCTGAGCCGCAAGTACCCGGCTGGCCACGTCGTCGTGGCCGACCCGGCGCGGGCGAGGCGGGAGCAGGGGAAGCAGGAGTGGGAGCTTGTGGAGCACGTGTACTTGCGCGGGCAGAACGTGAGCCTGGACCTCGGCAGGTTCCGGGAGGCACTGGACAGGATCCACTCCCGACTCAAGGAGCGACAACAAAGTCAGGTGTCCAGTCCAGATGCATCACCGCAAATATAGGCCCGGTTCAGCTCACGCGAGTCTGGCTTATAAGTTGAGCAGAATTATATAATAAGCTATGAAGTAGAAAATTTGCTGTTTAAATAAGCGGGGTGTTTGGTTGTATTGATTATTTTAGGTATGACATTTTACAACTGAAACCTTGAATTTTTCTCAAACTGCGTAGCACTATTTACTACTATTTCTATGAGTCTATAGCCTTGCAACTGGACCCAAATAAGAGTTTCTATTTGCATCCTGGTCCTTCTTCTTCATTCGACGCACGAGCTCGGAGGGAGCCGGCGGCGGGGGGAGAGCCGGCGGTGAGGGAGTGACCCGGTCATGGAGGCCGCCGGCCGGAGGCCAGATCCGGCAGGGACCTGCTCCCCACCGGCGGATCTGGTCCAGGGCCGGGCTAGAGGGAGGCGGGCGCAGGGATGGAGATCGCGCCGGGAAGGGAAGACGCGCCGGGGAGGGAGGCCGCGCCAGAGATGGTGGTCGTGCCGGGGAGGGAGGCCGCGCCAGGGATGGACGGAGTGAGCGAACACGAACCCGCGTTCTCCAAATCACACGCCTTGGCTCGCGTTTCGGCCGTAGGTTATTTTCCGCATATAAGCGGACGCGCGATGGCTGCTCGCGAGCGCGATGCAACCCGTTTGGCGAGATTTTCGGCTCATCTCGGTCGCGAACGTGAGAATGAGCGGAACCAAACAGGGCCATAGGCTTATATATTGGTAGAAATCTTTACTCCCTCCGTTTCTAAATAGACGCTTATTTGGTGCCTTAAATATGGATATTTTATTTATAAATTTAGTGATATAAATTAATTAATTACTTTACTTGATTATAACACCCTCCGCGTATGTTTACTTGTCCAACTAAGATCTTGTTTAGAAGCACTTGTATCTACCTGTGTTTTCAAGTGGATTGTGGTGAAATTTAATTTAAATTTCATCTCAAACTGCTCCAACACATATGTATTAAGATGGATACAAATGCATCCATACGTGTTTTCTAGGTGTTTGATTGTATGTTCCTTTAAAAACAGTGACTAAAAACATTAATACACATAATTTCGTTCGTTCGATTATTTTCTTTTCAGTACATAGAATTTTGTATATCTATTGGTCAATGTGGGAATCATCCGTGAACTAAGAATAATTCAGTTGGATAGATTCCATGTGATGAAATTGACACCAAATGTTGGTCCAAAAATTGCCAAACCTCAACCCTCTAGCCCTAACTCAAAATTTGAAGCTCAATGTATACCACAAAGGAAGAGGATTATCAAGCACAAATATTATTGCTGATTGAAAGATTTGGTGTTCTACATATTTGCCCCCACTTGTCATGGACTTCACATTAAAACACTTGTCAAGCTCAAAGTTGTAGATCACGTCGACCGCTACAACTTTCATATTGATCATGTCAATATTTGATGCCGTTTGGATATTCTCATATTTAAATTTCAAAGTCTAAGAGTTTAAAACACATATTTGGTCCTCCAAACAATTTCAAACAAAGATCTTGTCGATTACAAAGTTATAGATTGCATTGAGAAATACAATGGTGTAGATTATGTTAACATCAGAGGTTTGTTTAAAAATTATAGATTTTAAATTACAAAGTCTAAGGATTTAAAATGATTTTTGGGCCAAAAATTTCAAATAAAACAATTGTCAACTACAAAAGTTACAGGGTTATTTTTATGGATACCATTAGAATTTTTGAAGTTCGGAGAAGTATCATTAATATTCACCTATTCTGGACCTTGCCATTACAATTCTTCTTCCATTTGAAATATGTCACGGTATACGTCTGAATAGGCCTTGGACCCAACTGCAGGTGTACATAGTGTCATCGTATTTTCGTAGAGACAAAACTACCCTCCCATCCTACTGTCTCTATGACACTGACATGTGGACCCCACTAGTCATCTTCTTCCTCCTTCCTTCCCCATCTTCTCCATGGCAGATTGGCAACATCTTCCCCAACTTCCCCAACTCCATGACCCTGGTTGCGCCCCTCCCTCACGCACTCGGCCATGGCGACAGAGAGCGTGTGCAGGAGATCCGCCCGCCATGGCGGAGCAGGAGATTACACTGCAGATGGCGGTAAGGCTCGGGCATGAGCAGCATGAGCGAGCGAGAGCGCGAGAAGAGGCGTGAGAAGAGAGCGCGAGAAGAGAGGAAGGGTGGCGGCGGGCGGAGCGAGCGAGCAGGAGCGGCGAGGACGAGCAGCTGGCGGAGCAAGTAAGCAAAAGCGCCAGCGATCGCAGCATCGAGGAAAAAGGTGGCGGGGCGGAGTTCCCGCGTGGCCATGGCGGGAGGCTGGCGAAGCGTGAGCATGAAGCGTGAGCGTGAGCTGTGAGCATGGAGGAGGTATGGGCGGTGGAGATGGAGCGAGCAGCGGCGGCGCGAGTAGGAGTGAGCAAGCACGAGTGCCGCAAAATAGGCAGTGGCCGAAAAGTGTCGAAAAGGCTTGGCCGGTGCTGCTGCCATGGCGGAGGCGGGCATTTTTTCGCGCAATGGCCTAAAAATGCTTTACTTGGGCGCAGAAGATGTGAGGTGAGGTGCGATTAAGCGAGCGAGGCGGCGCAGCATTCATCTCCAAGGGGGAGGGGCCGTCGGCGCCGAGGAGAGGAGAGGGCTATCATGGGTGCTGTCATGGAGGAGGGTATGGAAGGAGCTGGCTAGAGATGGACACCCTGTTCGCATGATCGTATCGGCCATGCTTATCAGCTATGATACAGTGTTTTTTCTCACAACAAAATAGCATCAGCCAGCTTATAAGCCACAGAAACGATCAAGCAAACAGGGTGGGAAGAAGGATCTAGCCTGTAGGCCCACGCATCAGTGAGTGAAAGAAGACAGAGGTAGCGAGGATATTTTCGTCTATACGAAAATACAACGCACTGGAGGTGAGTCTAACGTCTTCGCTAGAGTAGAAAAGAAAATGGCATGGCTTTGCTTTACTTCGAATTGTAATGGTAGGTGAATAGTAATGGTAGTTTTCAGAAGTTGAAGAATTATAATATTAGCAATAAAAACAAGCCAAAGTTATAGGTCACATTACGATCAATAATTTTGGTATAGCATTCATCTCCATCCCATCCGACTATATAAAAAGTTATGGATTGTTCTTGTGACAACTATTCCTAGAGATGGCCGTTTTAAGAGTGTCGCCTCTGTAGAATGATGATCACCTTAGTATGCTCATCTATGCAGCAGAAACGAGCATTTACGTGAATCTCGCCTCACCATTTTTAGGGGCAGTGCCCAAAAAATGCCCACAACTACTACACTGATACATTCATCTCATTTAAGCATGTGGGGTTTCAACACATTTTAGAGCTTGTTTGGATGTCCATGTATTCACATTAATCCACATTGTTGAGGTGGATCGAGTTGAAAACTGGATAGTGGATTGAGGTAAATATATGGACATCAAACAAGCCTTTAATGGTAAAAATGCAATCAATTGTGCCTGTTGTAAAGGTAGATTTACGATGATGATTTAGACCAACAGAAAATTTATAACATGTAAGTAGCATCTCCGTAGATTTTACGGAGAAGGCTTGCCTCGGTTTTTTCCTTCTCCAGACCCCACTCATGTGGGAGCCTTCGGCACTGGGTCTGCCCTTACTAGTTCCAAAATAAAAATTTCTCTCTCCTCAACCGGTTGAAACTGGGGCACGATGTCCTGTGGCCAAATTTCAACAAACAAGAGTGTCTTCTGGCAAACTGCTTTAAAATAGGTGTTCGCCAGTAAACGACCTTGATGTCCGCCAGCTAAATTTTCCTAGTAAATATATGGAAGTTACACGGCCATCTTATTTTAGAATAGAATTGCCGGTTTGGAGAATATGAGAACCGCACCCTGTACCATTCGCCTCTGCAACGAGCAACGAACCTGTACTAGGAACATTATCGCTCCGGTGACAATCATCACTTACCGTGGCAATCAGCATCAAGATAGATAGAGTGTTAACTAACGTCGCTCGATCTCGGTGCCGCGACAAAATGGACGGATCTACGGGGTGGCGACGACGGCGAGCTCTCCTCTGCCGGAGCACCGCCGTATCCGCACCTCCAGAACCGTGCCCGGTCCATCCCTCTCGGTCTCGCAGCAATGCCGCCGTGGTGCCTGGAAACATGCTTGGAGCACTCAATTTCTGCAGAATCCGAGACGAGGGAAACGATCGAGCTGACGATGATGCGGTGGTTAGTGATCAATTACCCGGTGCCAGTCACTAGGGTTCATCTTGGGCGCCAGGACCCTGACCGTCTGAACCGCAGCAGCGGAACGGAAGCCAGGCATGTCGCACTCCTTCTCCGGCTGCTTCCCGACGACGTGCCTCGTGTACTCCGTCACGGTGGCCGCCGGCGCCGTCTCGTTCCGGACGTGGCTGAGGAAGAAGGTCAGGGGCCGGGCGCACGCGCTGTCAGGCCTCCAGGGCCGGGTGTTGAACACGAACAGCCCGTCGCCGGCGGCTGTCTTCCTCAGGGACTCGAACGTCTGCAGCCGTGCAGCGGGACCTCCAGCTCATGGGCCGTAACGGCCCACGGGTACACCTGCGCCGTGTAGCCCCACGCGACCGAGACGGACCAGCTGTGGCCGGACGGGCCGTCGTGGTGGTAGCAGATGGTCTGCTGCAGCGTCCGGGCCGGGACGCATCGACCAGCGACCGCACGGCGTCCAGCAAGGTCCCCCCGTGCGGGCTGATGGGCTGGATGAGGTCCAGGTGGTGCAGCGACACCAGTGGCGCCACCGGGTGGGCCGCTAGGAACCCATACGCGTCGCCGCGGAAATCCAGCTGGTGGAAGCCCGGCTCGTCAGCCTGGGCACATTGAGCACAGCCATGCAAAATCAACCCCGAACCGAAGGGTCAATTCGTCAAACCTCCATTTTTTCGATCTTTCAAACAATTACCCTACCGGTTTTGGATTCGGGAACTTCTTACACAATTGTGTTCCATATGATGTCGGTTTTTTGACTCGAGTGGAACCGAACAACCGTGGAACTACCATATTAAGTGAGCAACAATCTCCGCTTCCCCAATCTTGATGCAAAGACACCAAGGCCCACAACGCACCGTGTGACTGGGCACTTGGGCATGGGGCGGGGTAGCTCTCCTCTGCGGAGCACCGCCGTATCCGCACCTCCAGAACTGCAGAGGCCTCTCTCTGTCTCGACTCCTCTCCGGTCTCCCTCTCCCTCGATTCGCAGACGTCGTCCGGTCTGGGGCCAGGACCGGGATGAGGGCGCCTTTCCAGTCCGACGACGTCCCGAAGCAGTCAAGATCGCCTCTCCTCGCTGAGGAAGAAGGTCTCCGCTGTCAGGCCTCGGCCGGGGGCCTTGGTTCGGTGTGCGTCGAACGGACCTCGCCTGGCCCTCTGCGGGTTCGTCGAGTCCTCACCCGTCTCAGATCCGAGTCCCTCTCTCCCCATCGACCGACTCGGCGACTCCCCATCAAAACCCTAAAACACGGCGGGGCGGTGGGCGCGCGACTAGGAGGCGGTCCCCAGCTGTGGCAGAGCCGTTTTGGGAAGGTGGCGTGAGGCCGAGTGGTGAGGCGGAGCGCAGAGAGAGAGAGAGACGCGAATCGCTTGTGAGCTACAGCGGCCCGGCCCCGACATAAGGAGGAGCCACGGAGGCATGCTTGGTGGTTGCGCCATGGGGTTGTTTACGACGCGCGCCGGTGATGCTCGGCCAAAGACACCAAGGCGCTCCACAACGCACCGCCGGCAGTGGCGATGGCGGTGCTTTTGCACGAGTGGAAGGTGGCGCGCCCGGCGATCGCATTCGCCGCCGCCGAGGCGGAGTTCCGTGCATCGCGCGATGCGTGTGGCGCGAAGGGCGGCAGTGGAGGTAGACTTCGGTTTTCGGTTTTAAACCGAAAAACCGCGTAAAACCGAAACCGAAATGGTCGGTTTTGCATTCTCTGATTAACCGATCGGCTTCTCATTCTTGAAAACCGAACTTTTGAGGAACCGAAAAAACCGAATCGAAGTGTCGGTTTAAACCGAACGCCCAGGCTGACCGGCTCGCGGGTGAGCGGGATGCCGAGCTCGCTGAGGCAGGCATGTACGCGCTCGTCGCTGCCGAACAAGTCCCTGCACCGGTCGAGACAGCCGCCGCCGACGCGGTCGAAGGCCTTGGCGAGCTCCGCCGCGTCCGCGTAGCTCACCGCGAACCCGCCGCAGCTGAACGCCATGCCGTACTGAGTGCGCCGCATCCTGCGCCACGCTCTCCGACGGCGCGCCGACGTAGTACATCTCCTCGTGGTCGTACTTGCGGAGCACGGTCACCAGGTTGTCCGGGAAGAACACCGTGTCGTCGTCGCCCATCACGAACCACCGCACCTCGCCGCCGTCCTCCCCTGCTGTGCCGTTCACGATGGCCGCGAAGGAGTCCGCCACGATGCTGGCCATCCGCGACGCCGACACACGGCGCCCGAACCGGGACGCGGTACGGCGGGCTCGTGGCCGCCGGCCACGGGCACGCCGGCTCCTCGTCGAGCCAGACGTGGCCGCGCGTCTGCCGGGGCCGCCACCACAGCTCCACGTACCCGCGGCGGTAACCCCACGTCCGAGCCGCGCCGCCGATGCCAAACACGATGTGCGACAGCGACGTCGGCGTGCGAGCGGCGACGACCCCGGACGACCTAGCGCCGTCGTCGACGTGGGTCCGGGTGAGCTCGTTGCCGGACGTGCCTGCGGAACGCTGCCACCTCCACCACTGGTATTGTCCACCTGCGGCGGCGGCGCCACCCGGAACCGGAGAGCAGGCGACGTACGCAGGGAACGCCAGGGTGGCCGAGACCAGGATGAACAGCGACAGCGCCACACAATGCCGTGGCTGGTGGTGGTAGTCTCGCCCGCCGCCCATGGTGGCCTGCTTCCATTTGCGCACCATTGATGAGTCGATGTACAGCAGACCTTGCCGTCGGTCCCTTTCTCAGAAACAACACGGCATGTGCGCATGTAACAATGGCCGCACGCTACGTGTACATACGCTAGACGAGCGCTGGTGGTCTCCTTTTGCTCCAGGCTCCTGCTTTTCGAGTTGCTATCGAGGCGGCTAAATACACACGTACATACACGACGTGTGTAACTAAGCGTGATAATTCATGCATAAATGATGTAATCTGTACGCCACATTTTAGGACGCCGACCAAACTACAAAACTATGCATGGCGTGAACCTGAGAAAAAACGGGACCAGACGTGACAGAAGGTGTATATAAGAGTTCACACCTTATTAATATTTCTTCTGTCTCTCTAAAGTTTTGATAAGAGGCTTCACACCTTAGCTACACTACCTTTTCTTCTTCTTCTTCACAACAAAATACAGGTGCAACCCTCACATATTATTAGGAGAATATTCTTCGATCTCTCTAGTGTTTTGAGAGGAGGCTTCACACCTTAGCTACACTACTTATTTCTGCAAAACACAATACAAGTGCAACGCTCACATATATGTATGCACAAACCATACCATATAATAACCTCTAAATGACAAAGCTAGTATAACTCGGAATTAAAAAAAGTTATCAGAGACATTCTCGCTATCAACCAACATAGCGCCAATATATGCTAGACTAGATTACAAAAATACAAGCACTCATATCAAGTCGAAGATTTTAGTCTAATGGACAACTTCCACCATAAAGAAACCAATCCAGCCAAACTTCAACTTAATTCCATATCACTCCGTACTTAAAACTGGGAGTGAACATTTCTTGAATCACTATAGTTTTGATGGGATAGGAGGCTACATAACGCCTAAAAAGTGGGAGGAAACATTTCTTAGATCACTCTAGAAGGCTGCATACATGACGTGAACATGAGAAAAAGGGTGTCGTCTAATAGAAGGTGTAATACATAAGAGCTTTAGTTACCTGGATTCTACATAACTGAAGCTGGAGTTGACTTTTAGTACTTCAAAAAATGATGCGTTGTTACCCAATGAGAATAGTAGTTTAATTTACGTAACCAGAACCGCCCAAATTATTTTGACTAAGATGATACTCATCATCGATTCAATCCAGAAATGCTATACACCACTCAAGTATTGGAGCAATCCAACACTTGATTTTTTCTTTCTCTTCTCTTCGTCTCCCTCTCCCTCTCCCTCTCTTTCTTTTCCAACTCCGACGGACCTACAAAAGGGTTTTAGGAGGCAAATGGGCCAGACGGTGGTGGCGGTGACGTCGCCAGAGCAGGGCGGCAGAGGAGGCGGGCGGGCTAGGTTGGGGCCGGGGCGTTGATGGCCATGATGGCAGTGGGGGAAGGGAAGAAGAAGGTCGCCGTGGACACAATAGGGTCTCGTCGGAGCTCCGGCGAGACCCTACCGTGCTACGGCGAGGCGGTGGGCAGCGGTGTTTCGCAGTGATGCTGAACGACCATGGACCAAAGGTAGAAGAAAAGAGATGGAACGTTTCATCTTCATCCAACGGTCAGAACGAATCTAGTGTCCAAACGCTTGGAAACACACAATTGATGTGTGGACAAACTCATTCAATTAAACCAGATCATGCCTGGTGACCAAACAAGCTTAAAGCGAGTAGTCTCCGATATGCATTCTAAATATCACCCACGATCCACACACATGCCATTTGCACATTATGCCATACTCACATACGAACTACGTTACAAGGATACATATAGGAGGGAAAGCCTTGGCCAACACTGCTAATCTCCAAAACGAATTTACAAGCTAAATGAATATCGTACATGTTCTCGCAGTAAAAACACTATTACGTGGAGCAATAATACTAGACATAATAATAGTGCGAGTGTCATTGTTCTTAAGGCATCACCACCATAAACTCGATTAGGGCTCCAACCAGTCGATGCTTTGTCGGCTCCAATGGGATAGCATGGCCAATTGTGTGTCATATATAGATACCTATAGAACAACTTAACTCCAACACCAAAAGTGCAGTAACATTAGGGATGAAAACAAACATGACTGGTCGAGATAAACCCTCTTTCATTTTCACTTTTACATTTTTATATGGAAACGAAATTGAAATCCGGAAGGCTAGAAACGGGAACAAAAACGGGATTCACTAGAAATTGAAAACAAGTCAATTCAAATGGGAACTTGTCAGTAACGGTGGGGATATGGACAGACAAAACGGGTACGTCAACACACATAACCAAGAAACAAGACTTCACATAGTGACCTACCCGACATGGCATGACAATACTGCCACAACATATAAATAACTATAATGCATGCTGTAAGATTCATAAGATGACATGAGTATGAGTGCAAAACTATAAGATGACAAGGCTACTACGATGTGGCATAGATGACTGTGTTGCATTATTGCACTTCCTAAAGTAGGATATCCTACGCGGACAAAAGCGGGGTATTTCGACAAAAGATAGAAAAAAGCGAAAACAATTGATAAAACAACAATATTGTTTCCACCCATTTTCAGATTTACCAAAAACAGAAAAACAGAAACGCTCAGAATGACTGCCAACAAGATTTTGAGTAGGTTAAATATAGAAATCGAAACAGAACGGGGATTTTCCCCTACCGTTTTACCCCTAAATAGTACTAGTAATACTTATCTAAATACCAGATTTGGTAGATGCAAAGCTAAACATGGCATAGGTAAGTGAAGTGTGTAAGCGTTTAAATTAAGTTAGACAGGCAAAAGACATAGTATCCACTATCCATTAGTATAAAATTTGATTTTAGGAGACACATATATTTTTAGAGGTGAACATGGAAAAAATGCCGTTTATGTTAATAGCTAGAGACCCCAATCCGGGTGGGTGGAATGGGTTGGTTACAGGACTAGGAGTTTTTGAACATTTTCTAGAAAAACTTCCCCCTCAATCCGGGTATCCTTTTCAATAGCTATTGCAATAGTATTGTGAGCTTTTAGAATTTTAACATCTTGAATATATTGATCGGATTGACTTATATAAATAAAAAATTCAAACAATCATAAATAAGTACCCATGTCATGTTTTGTAATGTTGAATTAGGGCGCCACAATTTATCGAATTACATTTTCACAACATATTGAATTAAGTCTCTAGAATGGATGAGTGCAGATGCAAGAAAGAATAATGAACCATAATGCATGTGTTTTTATATGTAAAAATAAGGAAGGGATTTAAATAAATATACTAAATATACATGAAGTCAAAGAAAATAGAAGATGTTTCAAAATGAAAAAAAGGAGGCAAAGGCTACGCTGGAATAAAAGTCAAGGATCCCTCCTTCGTCCCCGCCTACCGACATGGGACCCACATTTCACCCAGGGCCCCGTGCTCAGGCCACAGCTTACACAGCCCGCCGTCCTCCCGCCCCTACTACTATTTTGGCGCCAAAGGATTCGAGTTTTTGCCGCCAAAACCCGCCGCTTCCTCTCCCCGTCCCTCCTCTCCGTCTCACAGCCCCACTCAGACGCGGACGCCCCTAGCCTAGCGCGCGCGCGGACCCAGCCAACATGCCGGGCCATCCAACCCCTGCCGCCACGCGCCTCGGCGGCGTCACATCTCGCCGCCACGCGGAGCTGCTCCTCCACAGCGGCGTCGACGGCGTCTCCGTCAAGGACCTCCGCCTCCGCCGCGTCGTCCCGCCCGCCGCCGGCTCCCTCGATACCTCCCCCGAGTGCGTCGCACCCGTGAAGCCCGGATCTGTCGAGAGCACGCCTCCGGAGGCCGTGTCGGCTGCTGCTGCTGCTGCTGAGGCGGCGGCGGCCGGGGACCTTGATCGGAAGTTGGTAAGTTGGGCGCTCGTTTCTTGATTTATCTGGTGCCTGCTTGCATTGCCTTTTCTGTGATTTCAGCATCTGATATTTGGATTGGTTCCCCGCTGGATCAGGTTCGTCCGCGGTCCAAGCTCGTCCGCGACCCGCGCTCGTTTGGGTACCGGCGCCTGCTGCCTTTCCTGAACGAGATGACGAAGAACGGTAAATCCTCCCCGTCTCCTCCTAGATTCGTCTTCGTCTGGTCCGGCTCGCATTCCTGTGCTTACGCTGTCTCCCTGCACGCCCGTGTCCTGGTGGTTCAGATAGCTCAATTGGCAAGGAGGTGCTCCCGCAAGACACGGCTGCGCACTCAAAGGATGGGCTCGGCGCATCTGATTCTCGGTTGGCTGATGAATCTGTAGGCGTTAGCCACCGCGAACCTGAAGCCATGGATTCTGTGGAGCCGGTGGTGGTGAACACCGGAGGAGACACCGATGTGATGGATGCCTGCAACAATGTCAGGGAAGAGATCAAGACTGTCCCTCATGATCTAACCAACATGCCGGTGAGTTTGATGTTGGAGCATCTTCATGCCCATATTTTCTACTAGCTGTTTTTGGCAGCAGGATATGGTTTTGCGCGTGATTTCGACTAGCTGTGTAGGAACACTATGTTGCTGCTACTCAGCTAGTTTCGTTATCACGTATAAGCTTGTGAACAGTATGTGAGGATTAAAACCTTGGGGGATGACCATAAGTATTGCTCCAGATTCGTTATCTGGAGCAATATAGCTTGTGAACACTATATTGCTCCAGTTTCCGAAATTAATGGAGAATATATGTTCTTATGTGTTTCAGTTGCTTGCCCGATGCACAAGGTCGAGGTTTGTTCATCATCCAAGCTCGTTCAGCTACAAGCGGATGCTGCCATTTCTCATGGAGAATGGTAAGATACCTGCTCGGGGTTCAATTGATGGTGATTAAGTGGTACCTCGTTTAGATTTCGTTTGCCTCACTGTGTGCTGTTGCCTTGCTGTTTCAGAAATCTCTGCTCAGGAAAGTGACAGGGTCAAAATTCGAAAAATTGCAGAGGAAAGGCGGCTAGCATCAAATGAGAATGATGCCTCAGCCAGTGGGCAGCAGTGTCTTGTTGTCTCTGATGAATCTTCTCAGGAATGCAATAGAGCTCAAGCTGAAATAATGGAAGAAAAAAAGCCACCAAAAGCAGATGTCAGTCATGTTCTTGATGACAGACAGCTTCAGCCTCCTGTTATAGAAACGTCTCCTCCTGATTGCAGTGCAGTTGAAGTGCAAAATGTGATGCAGCAAGAAGGTTTAGCTTCAAGTCAAGGCCCCCTAACTTGTTTTGAGGGTGAATTAACATCAGATGGGGACAATAGCCAGGCCATTGGACAGCTTGTTGTATCAGAAGAGTCTCCAGAGGAATGCAGAAGAGATGAAGTCAAAAGAAGCATACACGATGAAGCAGTAAAATCAGATGGGGGCTATGCTCTGGATAGTAGAGAATTTCAGCTTGCTGCATCAGAAATCTCTTCAGAAAACAGCATGGCTGAAGTGCAAGGGGCTGCACAAGAAGAACCGTTACCTTTAGATGGAGTTGAGGAAAATTCAGACAAGGGTGACTATGTTTCCAAAGAGCAGGCTCAGCTCTGTGTCACAAATGAATCCTTTGCTGCACATCTGCAAGATAATGCTGAATTCGCTGAAGTACCGCAGTGCCAAAACTTGGACTCAGGATGTCATGATGTTGGATTTGGTAGCCCTACCAAGAGAGTGATACCATTGTTGCATCGGCATTGTGCACAACAACCTCAGGATTCTGTGGTTTCTCTTGATGATCAGCTTCTTGACAATGACATACAAATGGTCTGCAGACCTTCTGATCCCTGTGCTGTTGGCAGATCCTTATCAATGGAGGAAATGTCTGGATGTATTCCGTTCACTCAATCACCATCAAGCAAAGCAGGCATATCACGGCCAAGTGGTGCCCATTCAATGGGAAAAAGAGCTCTGTCTCCTAAGAAGCTTTCTCCAAAGAAAGGAATACTCAAGAGGAGTACAAGGGGGTGTAAGGGTATCTGCATGTGCTTGGACTGCTGTACATTTCGTCTACATGCTGACCGAGCTTTTGAGTTCTCTAGGAAGCAGATGAAAGAAGCAGATGACATAATAAGTAACTTACTGAAGGAGGTGGTCAGTCTTAGGAGTCTTCTGGAGAAGCCTGCTGGCCAAGTAAGTATAAATCCGTGCATTTCAGATTTTGTTTCCTTTTCCTTATCATGAAGTTTTTCCTGCAGTTAGGAATGCTATATCCACTCTTCACTAGTATGACGAGTTTTACATTGACTTGTGGTGATCATCGAATCTGATTACTTTGTTAGGATCAGGACCTATCTCCTAAGGATATGTTATATTAGAATTTTGTTAGGCTTTCAGTAATACTTTTTCATGATAACCCCACAACACTAGGTTTTTGTCTTCTGTGCCTATTGAGTTTCTTGCTAACATGGTTGTTAGCATAATTTTGGGCAGCATGGTTGTAGAATGTCTGAATCTATGTGTTTGGCAACCATAGAAATGCAAGGATGCATTCCATGCTAGAATTTTTAGCCAGAACTGATCCAACCATTGTGATCATAAACTGTCATTTATGAATGGAACTAAACTTTTTTTGTTGGTCACTGATGACATGTAGACATTGTAAAAGTCCATATCAACCTTACTCTAGCTGAATAGCTTATACAACAAGGTGATTTCTACCCAGTACCCACACATATATTGTAAAACCTATGGCTTAGCTGCAATCTTTATGTCTTATATATTTGTGGTTTGTGTTAATTCATGTATGATGTGGGTTATCCTAGGGGTGAAATCGTAATTGTTTGTTACTTGTTGAACTATTTCCATATTGAGAAAGATCTGACAATTGAGAATGAACTTGGACTTGTTACATGGAAACTTATGCTGTCAAGTGACTAAAAGGGTTATAACTTTGGACTGTCCTCAGCCCGAGCTTCCCATCTCCTTTAAATTATTGATTGGCTCTTTTAGTGTTTGAAATTCGCTTTGAATATGCTTGCTAACTTACGTTCAAAAAAAAAAGCTTGCTAACGGCACAGCAGTTTTGTATTCACCAAAGTTTACAAAATCCTCAATTCTTATCGTCGTTTCAAATTGCAGCGAGAATCAACACAAGCAGCTTGCAGACAGGCCTCTCGAGTGGAGGAGGTGGCCAGAAACCGTTGCCAGCAGATGTTCGTGGATCTAAATTCCCACTGCAGAATCCCTGTGAGTAGTTGCTGTGCCCTGAAACTGCTGAATGACCTAGTTTTGCTTGACCTGACCAGGCAGGCAAATGTGAGCTGATCCATGGAAGCTAACCTGTTGTTTGAACTCAGGGACCAAGGGTTAGATTCACCGAATACGTTGAGGAAAAGAAGGCCTTATCATCTCCACGCAGGAGCAACCGGAGGTGACTGAACTTCAGAAGGTGGTGGTGACCTGACCTGCCCGACCTACGGATCGTGTTGCTGATTTTTTTGCGCACAGAAGGAAGACTGAAATGAAATGAAATTTTGTCGGAGTTTTTGCGCACTGGAACATGTCTGTTTGCAAACTTTTAGTGGTGAAATGGTGGTGCCTTGGTTGTAAGGACGCCGGCTTGCGTTGATGTTTGTACTAAATACTATGTACTCTCCAGATTCCAAGTTGGAAGTCGTTTTTACTTTTTCAGATATATAGCTTATACACAACGTCTAGATACATAGTATAAGTGTCTAGAAAAACCAAAACGACTTGCAATTTGGAAAGGAGGGCATAAAACTTATATATACATAGACAATTGCTTCAGAAGTTCAGATTCGTTCAGTTGGTCAGCAAAGCACGAGTTCTGGTTTGTTTCAGGCCTTATGGCCTGGAAATATGGGTGTGAGGTGGAGACTGTTGCGACCCAATTGCAAGAGAAACAGGGGATCGGTCGTGTGAAATGAAATTGAAGAATCTCGAGTTGAGTCGTGGAGTCGTGTAACTAATAAGATGATGGATGGCTGGGTTGGGTCAATTAGGTAAGTTCTGAGTCAGAGCTTTAGCTTTTGCAGGTTCAGGTTTAGTTTTCTGATACCTTTTCTAGTTCTGCTCTTTTCTTGGCTTCTATCAAACTCATGTATTTCTGTTATGCTATAATGGAAATGAGTAAACAATCGACTGCAAGTCTCTGAAAGTAAACAATCGGGGTTTCTTGCTGCTTCATTGAACAACTAGATTACAGCCATAGAAACACTTGCTAGTTGTATGCACAGGGGTACTGATACAGATACCGACTGACTGACATAAAGCGTACGTACTTATATATAGTAGGCAGATAGATGGTCATAAACAAGAAAGATCCCGGGCGGGCAGAGAGGCCAGACCGCCAGAGGCTAAGGGTCTGTGGTGATGTGCACCCCGATGGCGATGAGGAAGATGGCGGCGAGCGCGAAGAAGAGGATGGCGTGGACGAAGATGGAGGCGCCGCTGGTCTGGAAGTTGCCGAACTCCACGAAGCGCCCGCCCTTGGCCGGCAGCTGCAGCAGCAGGCCCGGCGACAGCAGCACGAACAGCACCACCGCCACCACCACGGGACCCCAGTCGGCCATCTCGAGCTCTGCTGTTTGAAGCGGATGCAGGCCGGGGAGGTTGTAGAACGCGGCAGCGCGCGCCGTGCCCGTGCGGTGCCTATAAAAGCAAAGGGAGGGGCTGCTGATCACTGACGCCGACCGAGACCAACTATGCTCCCAACCAAAACCAAACCAAACCAAAGCAGTTGGTTTGCTGTGCAGCTTTGGCCTTTGGCTCTGGTGGAGAGCAAATGCAACGCTACTAGAATACACTGACTGCTGCCATTGGCGGACATGAACTTGTGTGGGCACGCTTTCTGGACCAGCGGGTGCGTGGCAGTGGCAGTGGCAGCGGCACCAATGATGCACGAGCTTTCTGCGCGGGGAGAAGTTGGGACGTTGCCATCTCATCTCGCCTCACGTCCTCGTCTCATCTGTCCCTGGCTCCGTCCGTGCATCCACTCACTCCACTACCTGTCCACTCCGCCCCGTCATTCACCGGCGCCCTGTGTCGTGACGTGACTGGTGGAGCTGATCGCCTTTGCGACTTTGTGGTGTGTCGTAAACATCCATTTCCATCTCTTGCCCACTGCCGGGCACACCTTGTCGACTTCGTACGCGTCCGTCACGGTCACTACAGTTACGATGAAATCGATCAAGCCAGGCTCACTACAGTTACGGTCATCTCTTTTGAGAACGGTTCATAGGCCACGACGGCTCTCAACGTTGTATCCTTCCTGAAGGCATCACCTAGAAGATCCTGCACCGATCCGTGTGGGATGTTTAATGCTCATTTGCAAGCCTTGAGTTTTTGACAAGGCTCAACACTCTCTAGTTCGCTACTTTCTTGTGGCGCATATTGGTCCTCCTAGAGTGGATCTATAGTGGTGAAGTTAGAGTTGCTTTGGTTGTGGGGTACACCAAAGCTTGGTAACAATAACACATTGCGTTCTTTTTCTATGGAGGTCGCGACTTGTGGCGAGTGAGTGGTGGCATGTTGGAGGCTTTGGCTGATATTTATCATGGGAATGAAGTTGGAGCCGCTTATTGCTGGAACTTGTGATAAGCTCGACAACGACGATGACGTGCGGTGGGCTCCATCAGCTGTGTGTCACCTTTGTGTACAAATGTGTTGATTAGGGTTATCCGTCTTGGTTGTCGTGTTTAGGATTTTCGCCGGGTTTCCTTTAATAAACTGTGCGACTATAAGTTTTCAGGTCGGGTTTCCCTCGTAAACTGATTCTCAATTGAAAGATAGGCTCATGCCATTTCGGTAAAAAAAAGTTCAGAAGAAAGCTCTCGAAGTTCCGGAGATCACGAAAACTTTCTAAATCCCTACCAGATCTCAACGAAAAATAGATAACCAAATTAACACTTCCTTGAGGTCGATAGAGCCCTCTGTACTCGTTGCAAAGAGATAGATCAGGTAGAAAACTAAAGCTCAACGAACGAGTGAGCAAGTGAAGCACGCGTGAGAGAAAAGTTGAAGCAAAATGAAACCACAACAACAAGCCCACAAGACACGAATATTTATCCCGAGATTTGTCCACGCTACCAAGGTGTGCCCATGTCCTGGCTATTGAGGTGACCACAAATTTACATCCAAATCACTAGCATCTACTATTATGAAAAAGTTTAAATAACCATAAAGATAATGCCGATACATTTTCTAAATTGCTAACTTCTACCACTACTAATATATGGTCTTAATTAAAACCTAAATGTTGTGCTATTGTGCAGATCTAAGTATATATGCATGTATCAGCGGTAACTATATATTTCTTTATTTCAGCCATCATGAAAAATGCTCCTTTAATGCCTCACATACCAAGAATTCAATAAAATTACACAATAATATGTGTAAGTTGTTACTTAGATAAATCTAAACATTTTGATTCTAATTATTACTATGACATATCTATATTGATAATATTGTAAGCATTCTATTTTCTAAAAAATACTGCCGAACATATAATTTTTTGATAGAGAAAATTTAGTATCTTAAGCAGTGGATGATGTTAGTATAGGATAAAGGTGGCTATGCCTACCTAGTTTTTGAAATTCCTTAGGAGCAAACAATGATTGTTAAGCTTAAATATTAATATCCTCATAAGGTTCGCATGGTTAGCCCATGCAGCCATCCTAGATGTCACTTCAAGCTCCATTGCGTATCTTAAACAGCGTGATGCAAGCTTGATGGCCATTTATGTCAATGTAGTAATGAATAGTTTAGAGTAAGTTGTAATACATTGTCTATTTGATATAAAATTTGTAAGGAGAGTTTTGAATAACAGGTATAATAAGTACAATAGTTTGAACTTATCATGGATTATAGGAACTTGGCAATAGATGTTACGCAACAAATATCTAGGGACTAAACCTCTAGTTCAAGTCCAGTGAAAGAGTGGAGATTCTCATTTTTGGGCAAGTCTGATGAAGGTAAATGGGATTTCCTTAGATTTTGAACATTCTTCATTAAAGACGGATCACAAGTAAGATTTTGGAAACATAGATGGTTAGAAAATACTATACTTTGAGAGAATAGTATCCCCAACTATACAACTTAGCTAGAAGGAAACAAGATACGATGGCTGGTTTTTTGAGTACGCAACCACCTAATGTATCCTAGCACAGATACCTCTTAGGCGACAAGCTAGTGATGTGGAACAATCTTCTTTCACGTCTTACTTCCGTTGTTTAAGCCAGGAGGAAGACGAATTCCTCTGGAATTTAGACCAAAAGGGTGAATTTTTAGTAAAATCACATTATCTTGGCCTCATCCACTAAAACGTCCCTAACCTCAACAAGCAACTTTGGAAATTAAAAACACCTACAAAGATCAAAATCTTCATGTGGTACTATGGTAGAACCGTCTAATCTAATGCCTTCCAAGAGTACTTGTCTTCCATTAGACACTAAGTACTCAAGGGAGAACACTAAATTACACAGTTCCGTCGGACACACCTCAGGAGAGAACCCGAAAATCCACATTTTCCCATTAAGATCACAAATGAGAAAATAAAGCTTACAACATTTAAACATTTCTTACATCACTTTTCATGAAACATCAGAGTATAATATTTATTGTTTATAATAGTGGAATATGAACATGTTATTAGAGTTATGAACAATTTAAATTAACAGCAGAATATAAACATGTGATTAGAATTACAACGGAAATAAATAGTTATTCATGGCATGATGAAGCATTGATATATATAAACTATGACAACAGATTATAAAACTTTCATTTATAAAAACATTTGGTGAGAGTTATAAATAAAAACTACGATCGCAGCATAAAGGAATCCTCACTGAGCCCACCAGGAGGTATCCACACACAAGAGTCAGCTCTAGCATCCGTCTGTCACCTGCAACAGGAAAAAAATAAACCCTGAGTACTCAATTATACTCAGCAAGACTTACCCGACAGGAGGAAAGAAAAGATTCTAAGGATATGCAAGACTATCTGGCTTATGGGTTTATTGCATCTGCAGGAAGCATTACTAAGCGTGCGTCCTTATATTCAATTTTTATTAGCAGTCGCATTAGTTCATTAACTAACCATTCTATATAAGCATCTGTGCTACTTTCAAGTAGGTGGTAAGCAATCAGAATCATTTTCCATCTTTCATCTTCCAGTTCTTACTACGTTGCTAGACTGTAGACAAGTCGTACCGAAACGCTGGCGATTCACGAATCAATGCCCCCAGCTGGGTACCCCAAAAACACACGTCCCGCTTGTACCCCAGGCACAAGCAGGACCAACCCACTACCCTCCTGTCACGGGTCCAGGTCTCCGTCCAAACTAGACTCCAAGTCTCCGCCCCTGAGTCCCGGACTCAGTGCGGTGCAAGGATCTCCACCCAAAAACCACCCTGACAGTCGGTCCGAAAAGAGCCGGAACCAATGACAAGAGAGTAACAAGTCTTCCTTGCGTCCATACCCAAATATGTGCTCGAGATAATAAGTCTGTGACCTGCCTAAAACCCAATGCAACGGCCGGTCCTTAACCGACACAGACAGGAAAAACATTGTAACCAAGCTATGTTCCGTTGGCCGCAGGACACAACCTCTTACACCTACCAATACCCAAACCATATCCCTGCCCAATCACCATTTTTTCTTTCCACCATTTATATTTTCCAAGTGATAATAATACAGTAATATATTTCCTATCTCTCGCGAGTGACAGGCAATCACTCGACTTCTACCTGGAGTCCTGTAGCATAACAATCTATACGATCCTGTCATACTAGTAAGACTCATAGGATAAAGATATATATGCAAGTGGGTTTCATTCAACTCCTTAAAACTTAATACATAAATATAATTTAAGTGCAGAAAAGTAGGGAGTTATGCACCGGGGTTTGCCTGGGTAAGATTTAATCAAAAGTTAGCTTTCCATCATGGCAACACGATCTCCAAAAGGACCATTTCTCTAGCAACTCCCGATGACTCCGTGATCCATCGACGTCCCTATCATGATATGCAATGCAATGCAATGCAAAGACGTGATTAATCGACTGCAACTGTGACTCGTAAAATACGATTTACGCCTCTCAAGTTAACGAGCTAGTTCTAACGACGACCGTACTTAGGTTACATATCCATGTTGTCGAATAAGGCGTTATTTCCCAACAAATATTTTAGTTATATAAACCCAAGTTGTTTCTTTATCACATTCTATCAATTTAATCTTTATTCAAAATAGGGTATCATTACCTATCTAACAAACTAATTATTCTGGAGTTACAAAACTTACAGTGAGCAGCTAATAATATTAGTAATTTACTATAAAATTTTCAGAGGCAACACCATCACCGATTTACCACCGAAATTCCTACAAGTTCACGTTTTAACAACACTAAACATTTTAAAATAATTAGAGCAACCCTGAAAATATTTTAAAACTAGATGAATCAAATACGCTAATAGATAGATCATGATTTTAGGAGCCTAACAAAATTGGTATCACAATTTTTGGTTATCTACACAAATTTATCTTGAATTTACACTTTTGCCTTGAAACTAAATTA